TATATATATTTTTAGTTGTCCAGATAATTTCTTTCTATTTTTTGGTAGAGACGGGGTCTCGCTCTTGCTCAGGCTGGTCTAGAACTCCTGACCTTGAGCGATCCACCTGCCTCGGCCTCCCAGAGTACTAGGATTACAGGTGTGAGCCACTGCGCCCGGCCTCTAACTTGAATTTTTTGTTATTGTTGTTTTTGTTTTTTAGCATCCACTCCAAGCAGAATTAACTTGAATTTTATTAAAACAAGATGCTGGGTAGCCAAATTGCAAATATTGGCCATAATAGACAAAATAATTTAGCTATTGCAAATTGTCCAAGTGTAGTGAAGGAAACAAAATGAGGGCTGGAATAGAGACTAACATAACAGAAAGGAATCTTTAAATGGAGGTGATAAAGGAAGATCTCCACTAGCAGGAGATATTTGGTTAAGAATAGGGTGATGAACTGTCCCTGTTTGCCGGGGACTGTGGAAGATCCTAGGATGTGGGACTTTCATCCTAGCAACTTGGGACTTGCTAAGGCTGGGATGAAGTCGGTCACTCTAATTGTGAAGGAACCATACATGACAAGAGTGGAGGCAAGAGCATTTCATGAAGAGGGAAAGTTGCAGGTACAAAAGTCCCAAGGTTGAAAAGATCTTGGCATGTTTGAGGAACTGAGAAGCCAGTGTGCATGAGGGGAGAGTTGCATGAGGTGAGAAAGAAGAGGTAGGCATAAGGGAGATCATGTAGGACCTTTGGGCTGTGGTGAGTATTTCGATTTTATTCTAAGTTAAGTGGAACACTATTGGAGGGAGAGTTAAGCAGGAGAATAATATGATCTGGCTTTCCCCTGCCTTCTTCTCAAGGAAAATTGAAGTAATATGAAGGCAACTCTGTCATGGAGACTGGGCAACCTGCTCCTCAGCCCCTCATCACATCTTTTCTCCTGCTCTACCTTTGGTTTATCCATCCATCCATCATTGGCCTCATGGCCTTGACCATATCTCTTTCCTTCTTCCTTTTAAGTTTTGGCTCCTGCTGCTGCCTGATTATTTCTCCATTTTCCAAGTTAGTCTACCAGGAGAGGGAACCTGATTGGCCCAAATTATTTTCTTACTCTAGACCACTAAACACGTGTGTTCAACCAGCAATATGTTCCAGTCATCAGTGGCTGGGGGTAGGGTGGATGCGGACATAGGAGATGGTTGGCAGGGATCCTTTCCCCTGGGAAAGGTTGAGAATACTGGTATGTAGAATGTGGACTGTACCATCAGCTGGTATCACGAGCAAGAGAGTTTTCCTTAGATAGGACCATGGGTGTAACACCATAATAGACATAGTTACTGTAAAGATTTTAAAATATCGATTTTCTTATTTTCTTCTCCCAGAGACCATTGATCATCAACCTGTCTTCTAGTTACGGCTCTTATTGTCTAGCCCCCTCCTAAATCAATCCATAACGGGTAGTGAGGTGAGTGTTTAGAAAAGGAGCTTTTGCCTATTATCTAGGCCACAGGTAGAAGTCCTGAGGTATCTGGGAACAGAGGATAGACTCTTGGATTACCCGGAAGTTGTTATCAGAGGTCTTTTTTTTTTTTTTTTTTTGAGACAGAGCCTCACTCTGTTGCCCGGGCTAGAGTGCCGCGACGTCAGCCTAGCTCACAGCAACCTCAAACTCCTGGGCTAAGCGATCCTTCTGCCTCAGCCTCCCAAGTAGCTGGGACTACAGGCATGTGCCACCATGCCCGGCTAATTTTTTCTATATATATTTTTAGTTGTCCAGCTAATTTCTTTCTATTTTTAGTAGATACGGGGTCTCACTCTTGCTCAAGCTGGTCTCGAACTCCTGACCTTGAGCAATCCTCCCACCTCGGCCTCCCAGAGTGCTAGGATTACAGGTGTGAGCTATCGTGCCTGGCCTCAAGCAGCCTTCTGAGTAGATGAGACTACAGGCACATGCCATCAGCTTGGCTGATTTTTCTATTTTTTGTAGAGACAGTTCTTGCCGCTTTGTTCAGGCTGTTCTCGAACTCCTGGCCTCAAGTGATCCTCCCATCTCAGCCTCCCAAAGTGCTAGAATTATAGGTGTGAGCCACTGCACCCAGCTTCTAATATTTTTATAACCTAAAACAATGCTAAAATGAATAGCATTGTGCCTACATCTTTGTGTACTTTTCTGTTTACTTAAGATGTTAGAAAAGAAATTGCTGAGTCAAAGTGTGATTGCATTTATTTTTATACGTATATACAAAGTTCCCTCCAGAAAGACCGAACTAACTTACACTACTGAGCTTAGTTTAAATTTCCCCCTTTAGGAATCAACCTTTTCCTTCCACTTTCCATATCCTTTTCTGAAAAACTTGCTTTCTTCCTTTATGGCAAGTGGGGAACTGTTTCCCATCTCTTCCTACAAAATCGAGATCTCTAGCTGCTATCTCTGCCCCTGCAGAAGTCCTAGGATGTCTCCTGAGAGGCTGATTCCAGCCATGCCTGCCCCCAGATGTGTAGCCTAAATATGGTCTTCTTTGGTGTCCCAGCAGTGCCAGCTATTTTTGTTCTCTAAAAACGCCACTTCCTATTTCATCCTCTTTTGTGGGGTGGGGCTGAACATTGCCACATTTCAAATATAGGATGACTTCGGAGGCTGACATACAGCAGAATCCTGGGTGACTAATGGGAATGTGCACAGAAGGAACTGTATCATTGACTCTTCTCTCTCTCAGAGTGGCAGTGAGCAAGGTGTTCATTCTTTCTGTGCAGGTGGCTGCCTTACTGTTGGGGAAGTTCCACGATCTGATTGAGAAGTTTTATATCATCGATTGCCGCTATCCATATGAATACCTGGGTGGACACATCCAGGTGAGATTGCATTGTAGACATTCGTAGGGGGGAAGGGGCTGGAGATAGCTTTTTATTTAGAAAAGTCTATGGACAGAGCGTCCTATGAATGCTAGAACCAAGGCAGAGATTATACATTTGGAGCACATCAAAGCTGAAATTCTCATTCCTGTTTTAATTCTGTATACCTTAAACAACTTACTTCCCCTTTCCCTCCTAGACCAATCTCTCTCTAGGTAGGGGCCAAGGGTTCCTACCTAGAAATAAAAATATTAATCCAAAGACTAAGAAGCACTTTGTAAACACTTACTGCTCATGGATGTTCCTTGCAATAACCCCTAAACTTCTGGTGGTTCAGTTCTATAAACATTTATTGTTCATAGAATAATACTACATACCTAGCTCTGTATCAGACCCCAGGGGTGGATATAGAGATGTACTTAGGTCCCTGCCCAGAAAGTGTTTATAGTCTAGCTTTTCTGGCCCAAATGTACCAGGTTGGTATTCCAGTCATTTCTAAGTATTGGCACTGTCTACAAGCTCTGATGAAATATTTGTTAAAAATCTTCTTCTACAGGGAGCCTTAAACTTGTATAGTCAGGAAGAACTGTATAACTTCTTTCTGAAGAAGCCCATTGTCCCTGTGGACACCCAGAAGAGAATAATCATCGTGTTCCACTGTGAATTCTCCTCAGAGCGGGGTCCCCGGATGTGAGTCTACATGGGCTAGGGCGGGTGATGGAAATGGATCTTGAGTTAGACTCCCAGACCAGTTCAGACAGAGACTGACCGAGCGAATGAGACTGACCGAGCGAATGCTCTCCACTACAGTTTGAAGAATGTAGGGAGGTTGAAGGAAGGTGTTTCTGTAATTCAAAGTTTGGAGCAATAAAGGAGAAGGGAAAGAGGAAAAGTGGTGCTACTTGGACCTCGTTGTGCAAACACAGTGAGATCAGAAGGTCTTGTGTGGGGTTAGCAATAGTCTCTTCTTCCTCCCCCTCCCCAGCGAATGGCCCATGGGATCCCAGCTTTCTTCTTTCCACCCCACTCATCTCTGGGTTTTCTCTAAAGGTGCCGCTCTCTGCGAGAAGAGGACAGGGCTCTGAACAAGTATCCTGCACTGTACTACCCAGAGCTGTATATCCTTAAAGGGGGCTACAGACACTTCTTTCCAGAATATATGGTAAAGGGGGAGTAAAGAGGGGAACCTAGACTTGTGTTGGGGGAGCCAACTTAGCATGCAACTCGCAGAGCCTGCGAAGCACTCTGAGAGGAAACCCTGCACCTTTTTAGCAACAGCCAGCAGCAGCGTCTCTGTTATACTTACTAGGCAGAGTTCCAGGGTCTAGAGAATCCCTTACTCTGTCCCCTACCTTTCAGGTGCTATGTGAACCGCAGAGTTACTGCCCTATGCATCACCAGGACCACAAGGCTGAGCTACTGAGGTGTCGAAGCCAGAACAAAGTGCAGGAAGGGGAGCGGCAGCTGCGGGAGCAAATTGCCCTCCTGGTGAAGGACAAGAGCCAGTGATGACAGACCAGCCACTGGCTGCTAGGGAGTCACCAAAAGACACTACAGAAATTCTGAGCAGAAACAGGCCCTCTTCTGGATGGCTAAACCCAAGATTGTTAAAAAGATATCTGCAAAACAACAGGCTACCGAACTATTGAAATCCCATTCCTGGGGATTGGTTAGGTTTCAGTAGAGCTGAACCCTGGTGGGTGGTGGCTGAATCCTGGAGCTGGCTTTGTAAGGCTGTAGCCTTGAGTTGCATGGAGATTTGTGTTGTTTCAGGGAGCTCTTGTATTCCTCTTCCCAACTACTCATGTCTTCTCACAAGCCAGCCAACTGTTTCTGTCCCTGGGCTTCTGGCTATGCAAGAGAGTTGCCCACTTCTTTCTCTGTATTTTCCTTTGCTTCTCCCTCTCCCTTTTTTAAAATGGGAAAATAAACACTGCAAAATGAGAGGTGTGATTGTGAGCCCAGCCTGCTCCTAGATCTGTATAGGCAGGTGATCACCAAATTAAACTCTTTCAGACAAAAATGTGTAGCTGTCTTTATTCATAGCAGAGGCCAAGGGGCTTTTCTCTAAACCAGTAATACTCAAAGTTTGGACCCTGGACCGTCAGCATCATCTGAACTTGTTTAAAATGCAAATTTCCAGGCCCCACCCCAGACCTACTAAATTAGAACCTCTGAGGTTAGGGCTCAGAAATCTGGGTTTTTGAAAATCTCCTTTTTCAGTTGATTCTTTTTTTATATATATACAAAAAAACATCTGCAAGATCTTTTCAGTGGATTCTGATGCATGTTAGCTAAGGCTGAGAACCACTTCTCTAGAAATAAGGAAAACCTTCCAAACTGTTTCTTCAGCAATATCCTAGGCTTTACTTTTCTAGACCATTCTCTGGTATGAGTTATCTAAAAGTACACGCCAGATTCAGCACCACGTGGTATCTAGGCTCAGAAAACCAAGATGACTGGCATTCTTTAAGGCAGATGACAGATCTGAGTTGGGGTCCAAATGTTCCTTGTCTATAGCCTCAGTGGGGTTTTGACTTCTCCATTTCCCAAACTCTTTTCTCCACTGCATTTCACATCTCACAAAGACAAGTTTAGGATTCAGGATGGTTGGAAGGAGAGGTTTGTGATATAGGAAGATAGGAATAAAAGAAAATAAAAGTACAAAGCAAGATCTGATAGAGTTCAGGAAGACTTTTTAT